ATTATGTGAGAAATGAAGAAGTGTTAATTAGAGTCAGTGAGCAGAGGAATATCCTACATGAAATAAGAAAACGGAAGGCTAATTGGATTGGTCATGTTTTACGCAGAAACTGCCTTCTAAAAGAAGCTATCGAAGGAAAGATAGATGGGCGGATAGAAGTGACAAGAAGACGAGGAAGAAGACGTAAGAAGATGCTGGATGACCTTGGGGACAGAAGAGGATACTGTCATTTGAAGGAGAAAGCTCTAGATCGCATTAAGTGGAGGAATTGTTTTGAAAGAGACTGTGGACCTGTCGTCTTGACAGATTACTGATGATGATGATGTGAATGTATATGTTATTCAAGAAATGTCACTGCACAGTGATGTAATTTAGCACTCAGATGAGTACATATCTACCACTTCCTTTACAAAATATCCAAACAAAAGCATAAGAATTACAGCATTTACATGCATACTGAATTCATATGCACCCTCTAACAAACATGCATAAAATAAGCACACAACAAGAAGCTAAACCTTATGAAAACCTGCTACATCTCTGTACTACAAAATGAATGTAAGCTTTAGGAAACATTTTTAAAGGGAGAAAAATCTTCTATTCTCGAAAATACGGTAACCCAAGCTGCATTATGAAACTGAAGTTTTTCAAGGCCTGTTCATTGCATTAAGCTCGATACATAACACAAAATATGAAGGAGAGTCAGCAAACAGGTCATAAATGGATATAAAATGTAAACCATGCAATATTCAACCCTGGAAAAAAAATACTTATTTCTTGACATATCCTCCACCAACAATGATACACTTATCCCATTGCTTTACCAGAGCGTCGACACCCACAGCACAGAAGTCTTTCAACTGTTGTCTCAGACACTTCCACACCTCTTCATCTTTAGCAAATGATTGCCACCCAGCTGTGAACAACTATGCACAACAAACACTTCCCACCATAAAGAGGAAACATTTCTTTATGAATATACGTGGTGCAATCCAAAAGTTCCCAAAATATATTAATAAAAACTATTACATCTTATTCTGTACCATCACCTTCAAAGTAGTCCCCTTGGGAGCGTATACACCGATCCCAGCGTTTCTGCCACTTTTCAAATGCACCCTGGAAGTCTTTCTTTGTTAGGGTGTTTAGTACCGTCTGCATTTCCGCTTGAATTTCCTCAACTGTATCAAATCTTCGCCCCTTCAGGTTGATTTTCATCTTGGGGAAGAGAAAGAAGTTGCATGGAGCTACGTCTGGCGAGTACGGTGGGTGGGGAACAACTGCCATCTTGTTTTTAGCCAAAAATTCCTGCACAATGTAAGCCGTATGCAGTCGTGCGTTGTCATGGTGGAGTACCCAGTCGTTCGTGCACCACTTCTCTGGACGTTTTCTCCTCATGTCCTCCCTCATACGCTTTAGAACATCGTGATAGAACTCTTTATTGACAATGTTATATTTTAGCGTCCTGTTGCACTGATTTAAGTTCATGATTTGCTTAATCCGTCTTGCAGTGCGTACACTTATCTATCTTCTTCTCTCACTCTCACTACATGTTTCGGCATAAAAATGCCATCTTCAGGTGCTACTCAATTCACGTCAAACTAGTACATTGTATGCCTTGTCTTCACTTTAAAATAACTAAAATATATGTCCATCATATATATTGACAAATGTCAATCTGTCAATGTCATTTTTACGATTGACATTTGTCAATATATATGATGGACATATATTTTAGTTATTTTAAAGTGAAGACAAGGCATACAATGTACTAGTTTGACGTGAATTGAGTAGCACCTGAAGATGGCATTTTTATGCCTGACAA